AAAATCACTGAACTCCTAGCAGTTGTTCATACCAGTAATAATCAGTTTTGAACACTTTTCCAAAGCTATTTTTAGGGTTTATCTAATGAAAAAACACGGGTCTCGAAATTAATTAGCTGAAATCGGTCAAAACAAAACTAAAAGATGCGAGGTTTTGACGAATTCTGAAAACTTTTAAGTTTAAATTTCAAGAATTTCGACTATAGCTTAGGATAGAGGAAAAAGAACTTATCATAGTTGATATAAACAACCTACGGGAACTATATTCTTAACAAAGAAAAAGAATCATGTCTTAGGAATTGATGCATCTCTAACGAATACCCTGAAACGAGTACAAACTTTTAGCTTATTATTGATGGAAATGCTGCATTTCTATGGTATTTTTTAAAATAACACCATGACCTTTCTGAGAAACGCTAAGAAAAATGAGTTTCAAATTTCGATTTGAAACAGAAGAAGAGCTTTGTAAAAATAGTTTACTATGAAAGTTTTAGATCTTTTCGTTGTTCCTATTGTAGAATAAGAACATCGAATAAGCGATATACAGATAGCACTATGATAACAGAATGAGATATCTTCGCGTCGACCAATCAAATGGGTTGACTTTTTTGGATAGCAATAGAAGTCTACTCAACGGAGTTTTCTTCTACAGATAAAGTAAGCAAACATTACTATCAAGTATTTGTCTTAGTATTATGAAAGCAATTTTACTTATTGTTATCTGAGAAAAATATATGTATAGTGTCTCATAGATGATTTTCAGCTTTCACCTAACACAATAAAAAGAAATCAAAACAAACTTCATGGGTGATGTTATAACGATACATATAGAGCTACTTTTTAGAACCATTAGTTTAAAAGTTACTGGTTACAATATTTCGAAATTTGAAATATGGAACACTGATTTTTGCAAGAAAGTTAGTGTCCAATGAATAGTAATCATATGTTTTACCTATGGAGTACGAATTTCATCATTTAAACAAACGATTAGTTTTGAAAATTTGTTTCGGTATGTATCGATATAATTCGTTTTGATTTCTTATTATTCTCTTTGATGAAAGCTGAAAATTGTCTATGAAATGCATCATATGTATTTCTTTTCTTGAATATAAGTAAAATAAATATATAAATTAATTGTGATATTTATTTCTATTATTTGTATGAAAAAAAAACTTGAGAATGAATCGAAGTGACAATATTTCAATTCATTATACAGTGCTATTTATGATTCACTCTGTATATGAACAACATAAACTTAGGATAGGAATAACGAAAATGAATGAAACTTTTACAAAAGAAACCTAGTGATATGCAGCATTTCGAATTGAAAGTCAGAAATCGGTTTGTTTAATGTTTTTTTTAGAGGGATCACAGTATTATATTAAAAAATATGGTACAAATGACGTATTCTTGAGATTCAAAAGTAATTAATCACTTGGAGGTTTTTCTTGTAAGACTAGTAGTTCAACTATTTTTATTAAGTCTGATTTCCTTTCAAATTCAAATGTTCTTATTCATTTATAGTATAGGAGAATTTTTGACGGTCTCACTTGTGGACAATCTGCTTCTATTTAACAGTTTTGAAACTGGAATATACCATGGTTTACTTCTTAACTCAATCTATAATAACGTTACCTTTTATTAATTAGAGTTCGTTCCAATATATAACATGTATTTGCAAGATTAATGCTGGATTTATAGTTATGATACTTGTAGTAAGCATTATCATTTCTCTATCGATTTATTTACTCGGCGACATCTGAATTCATCAAGAGGTAAGATTATTCAGTCTTTATTAGATAAGGTGCAGATGACTAAAGTTTTATATATCATTCACTAGATTATTGGGTCGTTATAAAAATTTTATCCTTTCTTTTTCAAAGTAAGAAATACGATATGACTTGAAGTTTGCTGTAGAATTATTGTGTACAATCACAAAGACTTGATCTGATAGAGATCAATAATTTTATGAACCTAATTGACGATAGTATCCAATTTCATGCTATGTTGGAAAAGAATCAATATCTAATGCATTAGGGTTGAGTATCAGGTGAGTTTGTGTCTGAATCTTGATTCGGATTGAAAGAAGACGTGATGACTTCTGAAGTACGTTGTTGCTCGTCTAAATTGTTATAAATTTAATTATTAGTGATTGCTTCAAAGTAAACCATCCTGATAACTAAACGAGACTAAGATTTAACTAGCTGTTTGATTCTGCTCGCTCTAGTGCACTTCAAAATAACAACTAGGACTTTAGTTATCTACAATAAGAAGTTTTGTTTCATACATACACAGAATGCAAGTGAATGTGTGGTCGTACTTCTACCTTTCACTAGCATAACAAGACACACTTGCTATACCTTAAACGGAATTTTTAGTTTCTAGAATTATGAACTAACGATGGATCAAAAATAGTTTTCTAATAAGTTTCTGCTCAAGTCAATCGAGAATCTCTCTACTGTCCTTCGAATTTTTACCGAAAGCTAAACAGAAATCTGTGGTGACACCAAATGACAAAGCAAACCAGTCAATCGTGTTTCTTTTATTTCGATTAAATAACTGTTGATATGGGTATGAAATTCATGATTACAAAGAAAACTTTTGGCAGTGTGTCGGTGATCATGTCTAAACTGGTAGTTAGAGAGAGGAAGCGTATCCAGCAATTAAAGCGAGGAAAATGCTTATGCCAGAAACGAAGGTTGAAGTTACAAAAGCAGGAATCCAACAAAAATAAAATGGGACAAGCAACAAGGAAAGTTTCCACAGAAAAATGATTCCGACGTACGCCAACAAGATATGCCCTAGTTTGTTTCTCTTGTTCAATAGATCAACATTGACGTAAATAACTAAAAAGCCAACTTTTAGAACGAGAATGGTGGAGAATATCATAATGAAAGTGTCATCGACCAAGTTAAGAAACCATGATATGCAAGAATGTAAAATTCCAGTGAAAAGCATAATGAAGAGAAAACCGGTGCATATGTTCTGAGAGCAATACGCGATGACGATGAGAATTTCTCCAATCAGAAGGCCCAAAATAGAACCCAGACTCGTGAGCCAAACAATAAGAAAAAAGTGTAGAGCATCAAACGGATTATTGAGAATAAGATAACCTAGAGAAGAAAAATGATGTCACCAAACTAAATCACAATATCATTTCTGAATATCTCGCTCTTCTAGAGTAACGGCAAAAAACTCTGCTAATAGAATTTCAATATTTTGTATTGTAACGTCAGGTTGAAATGTGTAGGAAGGCTTGTGCTAAGTTCTGCAATTGATTTATGGTTTGCAAGTAATGTTGCAAATTTACTAGAACACAAGATAATTGATGTTTTTGCATCAAATACCATGGAATGGAACGATTGCATTCGGGGCAGTTCCCAAGTTTTTGGCCATATTCTTTCTCATGAGCCTCCATTGCGCTCACTAGCATAAGGCTCTCACAATGCGGGCACCGAGTAGAGGGATATGCCCATTGGTTTGTTTGATACGCCTCTAATGTGTCATACGAAAGCGCAGCATGACAACCGTATTGCATACTTTGACATCGACTCCAGATTTTAGATAAAAGACATCGTATCTACGGTAGACAACGTTTATCCGCATACCGTCTACATCCATATGGGCAACTCTTATTCACCTGGAGCCACTTCAAAATGCAGGCCTCGCAAACATATTTTCACCATTTCCAATATGTTTGTAATCAACAGTATCTATGGTTATATGCATTCTTGAGCTAGTTAAGTACACAGGTGTAATGATTGCTGGAGTCATTTTCTCTATAAAAATGCATGTCGTTTTCTCTTTCTTCAACGTCGTACAACGTAGGCTTGTACAATCACACCTGGATTTTTTCTTCTGCAGGGCTACATGTGATTCAACTGCACAGTGATATTTGCGTGTTTGGAAAATAGCTAGATTGAAATGAGTCATGTTGAATAGGCAATAGAGGTATACAATGAGAAGTTTCCTAATTTCTTAACAAATGCAACGTTGATCTAGCTAGAAAGTCACTGAAACACATAGAAAATCTCTTTTTGAAGGTTTTATGAAAAGATTCCCGGAAATTAAATTTGAGTAGAATTTATAATTAAGTTTTACTAATCGAATGAAAATAGCTTCAAAGCGTCGTTAAAATCCAATGTTTGATTAAGAAAATGGAACGAGAGACGAGACCATTCCACAGATAGCGGACTCGAAAAGAAAGGGTTGAAATGTAGCTGCGCATGCGTGTCCTTTTTCACTGGAATCCAGCTCAAGATTCATATCTATCCTAGCACTCATAATCATATCTCAAATCAAAAATTTCACAAACTCAAATAGATTGTAATGATATTATGTAAACTATCGTCTGTTTTATCCACATAAAGAGTCTCAATTATGTGCTGATATCATTGTTAAATTAAGTGGTTTTTTTTCACTTATATCTATTTTCTGGGCCAAGCTAAATGTTTTCGGAAGAATTCGATACATATATATATTGTATGATTTGAATGACTATTTCGATGTATATTTATAATAAAAGCAATTCTCTTTAAACATTAGATTTTATTTTGCTGTTGAAACTTCATTTAATTACTTAAACAAAAAGCAAACACTAGACCACTTAAATGAAAAGAAATGATTTGTAGGTTTTTTTTTTCTCTTGATTAATTGTCAAACATTCACCTTATATCATAAAAAAGCATGTATAGATATGTATGACATAATATTTCGGTTGAAACTAACTATATAACAAATGAATAAAGAAGGAAATGTTTTAGAACAGAACTACTTGATTATCAGACCAGAATAGAAACACAACGAGAAAGACCACATAAATTCACCAGATTTTATCTTATTCTGAACTGTCGATTCAACCATGAAAATAAATAAAGCAAGCACACAATAAGTTATCCATGAATAGACCATCACAATAGAGACCAACAAAAAAACAAATGAAAAAAAAAAGCAAATATTAGCCTAAACAAGATTACAGCAAATATGAATCGATCAATAGACTACAAGCCATTGTATAATCGATGTTGCGATTCTTGATGTAATAAAGTTTTAATAACTAAAAAAAAACGTTGCTTTCGTATAATAATAAGAAAAATCTTGCAAAAAATTACCGTCTCGTTGTTCATCATTTAGTTCGCCTTTAGGAAAATCAACATCAACTGTAACATAAAGATCACCAACAATATTATTTTGATCATGTTGTGGTAAACCTTCACCTTTTTTCTTTATTCGAGCACCAGGCCAAGTTATTTTTTCACGTTTTATTGTTACCTAAAAAAAAATCAAACAATTACTTTACAATTCAATATAGACATGCATCGCATCCAAACTCTAACTCGATGTTTAGAATGAAAGACGCCGCATTTGGAAAATCTCCAATCAGTTCAGACAGTATCGGGTATTTTTTCGAGCATTTCCTAAGATATATGGAAAAGTATAAAAGCGCTCTTAGCTTCAGTTGAAAGTTCAAGTATTTCTAAGCACTATTAACCTTTTGTAAAACACGATCTAAAACGGGTGTTGAAATAGTCCTTGACGACGTCTTTTCTCCATCAGAGATCGTATATCAATAACGTCTCATTATAATATAAACCACTTTCTTATTGCATTTTCGAAAGATGAAATAAAATCAACTTCCTGTGAACACCAACCGTAACTATACTGTGTTTCACATTTCAATCGTATAGGGATTGTGCCAAGAACTTTTTTAAGATGCCTGCAAATCTTCGATTTTTGAATCATTTATTTCACCATGTGTAGATCTACCGTAATCAACTCTGTAATCCTCTCCTGTTTGTTACTTTTGTTTCCTTTTATTAATTAACTGAAAATGACTGCAATCAAGTACGACATAGAATGTTCGGATTCGATGCATGCCCTAATTCAATATAAATGTTAGTTACAGTGTCTTACATTATGTCCATCAAGATGAGGAAAAGATACATCAAAACCATTCAGTGCATCTTGTAGAGTTATTGTTAAATTTGTATATAAATCATTATTTTTACGTTCGAATCTTGTGTGTCTAATTAAAGCAAAAAAGAAAACAAAATATTTAAAAAACAAAGAGAAGATTCATATGTACTTTTGAATACGAATGATAAATTTCAAATCACCTGGTTCACCTTCAATATGAGGTTCTCCTAAATATGAAAATTATTTTTAAATAATTGAATTAAAAAAATATATATATTTTATTAGAAAATAAACCTTCAGCAATAAATGGTATTTGATGTCCATCAGCTACACCTGGTTCTACTTCAATTTCTAATACCATTTCTTCTGTAACAAATCTTTTAAAAAAATTGAATAATAAATTCTTAAATTCATTTGTGTCAATCAAATCTTTCTTTACTTGATATTTGGACATTCATCACATACTTGTTCTTGCATCATTTGAAACTAAAAGAAAATTTTTCAATAAACATTCAATTCTTCTTCGACGCCTGTTGCGATAAAATAAACAATTAGATATCGATCTAGTAGATATACACGAACACTACACATACATATGTAATATATGCATAAATTCATAAGAAATATATTCCTATTCTGTCATTAGAGTATGAAAACAGATTCCTTTCTTCGTATACTGCATAACCTTCTTACATCACACATATGACATATCTCAATTAAGTATATATAAAGTACTTTTATTATAGATATTTTTCAAGGGAAACTTTTCAATAGATCTTACTCGTCCAGGACCCATTTGAGTTGTTCGCATTTCCATTCGACAATTACATTTTCGTGAACCAGCCGTTTGTTTTGCTACTGGTTTAGCTCGAACAACCTAAGTAATTAATTTTTAGAAAGTAATAGACAAAAATTTATAATTCTTACTTCAATAAAATTTCCATTATAAACTTCTTCAAGTGTGACATATAAATCCACAACTAAATCTCCACCATGTGGCACTTGATTATGTCCATCATCTCTTGAACCACCAAAATGAAAAAAATCACCAAAAAAACTACAAATAAATCAAAGAACTTATTAAATCATTTATTTATTAGGTAAACAAAATTTACCTTGAAAATGGATCATGAAATGAATCATCACCACCTTGTCGTTTTAAACCTTCTTCACCATGTTTATCATAAATTTTACGTTTATCAGGATCAGATAAAGCCTACGTAAAGAAAAAGAGAAAAATCAAATAAATTATTTCCAAATATTGAAGAATTTTTACTTCATAAGCAGCTCCTAAATCTTGAAAACGCTCTTGTGCTTTTGAATCATCTTTATTCTTATCCGGATGTAATTCTTTTGCTAATTTTCGATAAGATTTTTTTATTTGATTTAATGTTGCCGTTCTTGGTAAATTTAATATTTTATAAAAATCACGTCTATCAAAACAAAAATCAAAAGGAAGTCAATAATTATCATAGTCCAAAACGAAAACATTTTCAATTACAAACCCAGCTAATATAAAATCTGCTATACATATCAATAAGAATAAAATTAATAAAGAAGTAATAGAATTAATTTTCATCTAAAATATTTTTTTTAAAGAATTCATTTCTTTTGATGTTATGAAATACTTTGTTTAAACATTTAAGAAAGAAACGTTCGTTTGAGAAATGCTTTTTTTTGTTTCATGTTTGATTCTCAATGTGTACAATGGTAATCCTAATAGAAGAAGATAAGAAAAAAACGCGACGAAGGAGAAAAAAAAAGAAACACGGAAGACAGTAAAATGTGTGATTGCGAGCACGTATAACAGCACCGGGTGTAGCTCAGAGCAAATAAAGAACGAAGAGGTACAAGGGATCATTTGTTTTGTTTTCACAAATGTTAAATGCTCAATAGACAAATATTCAACATTGAACCAGAATAGCAAAAAAGAAAAAGAAAACAAAAAAAAAAAAAAAAAGGAAAAGCAGAAAGTCAAAAAAAAAATGACTACATGCATAAAACACATGAAAATTTTCGAAGAAATCACAATCTAGAATCATCGTTAAAATGAGTGATTTTATTATTTGTATCTTCAAACGTTAAATCTTGACGTTGTTGTTTATTCATCGATGGTTTTTCAAGAAGTTCTAGACGATAATTAAAATCATCCATACGATGATCAAAATCATTCAAACGACGATTTATTATATCTAATTGATAAAGGATATTATCATATTGTTTATTATTTGATTTTTGCTTGGTTTCAGTTGATGATGGGGAAAATTTTGAACGAACAAACTTTATAACGCTCTAAATGAAAAGAGAAAAAAACAATATTAATTTCTATACATTGTTTCAAAAATAATTATATATATAAATATGTACGTTAAGATAAGATATTAGTAGAAGGTGATATATATGTTATGTTTCAAGGGGAGGTATTATCAAGTTAAAAGAAAAAGAGTTAGCCGGCGGAAGTCAAAAATGAATTCCTAAAATCTCTGAAGAACACAATATAAACATGCACACATGCAAATAAAAACAACTAAAACCACAAATAGAAACAAGCAAAACAATAATTATCTTACTGAATTTGAAAGGTAATATTAAAGATGAATGTATATATATTGTGTATGTGTATATGCACGTAGGTAATTAAATTGAAAAATAAATAAATGAGTAGAGAAAAGAAAAAAAAAGAGATATAAAGAAGAAAAAGAGAAAGAACATATTTGTTATTTGTATTATAAAATATTAATCATCAAGATCATCAACTGGTGCTTCATATTGTGATAAACGTTCTTCTAACGTTTTAATACGTCGTTCATGTCCTTTAACAATTATTTTCACTCGACGCATTTCTTCAACAAGTTTATCAAGAAATTCATTATCGACATGCTAAAAATTAAAGTCTCATAATTATGAAAATAAAACAACAGAAAAAAAAAATAAGAATCATTCTAAAATATTCTTAGTAAATAAACAAGACAACTATATTTATATATACCTGACCATGTTGAACAGTAGCACCACCATTATTAGCACTTGTTTGTTGTGTGACATTATGTGGGGATGTTGGTGAAGGTTTTTGACTTGTTGATTTACCAAAAACAATTTCTTGTTTTTGTTGTTGTGCTCCATGACCAGGAGTTAATCCACCACCACCTGCACTTGATTGAGATTTTGTACCCGAATGAAGATCACGAATAGAAACCTAATTAAGAATTTAAACACATACATATATATCTATATATTCATATAACACAAACATATTTTCAATTAACTTACTAAACGAGGATTAGCATCTTTACCCTCAATCCATTCATCAGCTGTTATAGCATGTTCTTCAGCGGCTGTATCAGGATAAAGATCTTCTTGAAAAAGTTCAGACTAAATACAAATAATAAATTTAACTTTTAATTTTTTTTTCAACAAAAAACATACTTTGCGTGGTACAGTGAATGTAATTACTTCACAAAGACCACTATTGAGCAATTTATAAAACCTAGAATTTTAGATATAAACAAAAAAAAAAAAGAATATCTATCGATGATAGAAATCAAAAATTTTTACCGAGCTATTTCACATGTTGCAATATGCATTCCACGTTTAGGCATAACACCCATACCACGTTGAGGATCTGATGATGAATATGTATTAATATAATGTATATAAGGTGCTTCTGGTGTATATTCAAAATATCGAATAGTTGAATCACCCTAAATAACAAGCTTTTTGTGTCTCTTAAATTTCTTTTCTTTTTTATTTTACTTTTCCACATAGAAAGATTAAACTAGTATCTTCATCATAAAATGGAAATAGAATACCATTTGAGGAGTCCAGTTCTTCCATTGTTAAAGCATTACCCAAATGATCCTTTTTAAAACAATTAAAAAAAAAGATATCAATAAATTTTTTTCTTAACAATTTCATTATCTATAAAAACCTCATCCCAAAGAGCATATTGTCTTTCTGACATTCTCGAAAAACCAGTAGAAAATATACGACCATCACGTAAATAAATAGCTCTTGCAGGTTTAGCTCCTTGATGACCCATTCCGGACTAGAAATACATCAAAATAATTAGCTTTCTTTTCATTTTGTTTTATTAATTTAACCTTAATAACATGACCAGTACGTGGATTAATAATACGAAATATTTTATCTTTACATGATGTAACAATACGTGAACCATTATAATTCCATGAAACACTTAAAATAACTTCTGGATGACACTCAATTGTTGTTAATATTATTGATTTACCAACATTCCATATAAAAATTTTCATATCACCACCTAGACATAAGATTTTGCTGTTTTTTTTTTTTCTAAACTAAACAAACTTTTTACCAGCACTAAGTAAAATATTAAGTGCGCTTGGATGCCAAACCACTTGTCCAACACGTCGTTGATGTGCAACAAGATCAACAGCTGGTTGTGTTAAATTAGTTGATGTTATACCACCATCAGGTATTTGCCAAATTTTAACTGTACAGTCTTCCGAACCACTTGCAATAACATTATCATTATGTGGGCACCAAGCTATATCAAGTACGGCTGCTTTGTGTCCTGTAACTAATGGTACATCACGATCAATACGTCCAATTTTATCTAATGGTAAAACAAGAAATGCACCACCACCAGCTGATTCAGTTATAATAGCTAAAAACTTTGGATTAACTGAACAAAATGTTGAATCCCATGCACTTTTTGTTATACGAATATTTTCATAGCAATCTTGTTTTTTAGCTGCTTGACCAAATACATGACTTGAAAAGAAAAAATACTTTTTCTTCTATTTAAATTCGAACAAAAAAAACAATAAAATCATATTACCGAAATTTGCTATTACGAACAACTCGAGCCATGAATAGTATATATGATATTAACGTGCTATTTTATGTCGATATAGAATCTGTGAGATGACGACAATAACAACAACAACCTGAAATAAACATGCAGTTATCAGTTCCACTACGTCTTCGTATTCTCTCTTTTTTTTCTTCTCTCTTTCTATTCTCCTCCGCAGTATGTGCTAGCACAGTATGAAGGCAATGGTTGATGGGAATTTTTATGATAAATCGACGCATTTATCGAGCAAGCAAATGTTGCGACATCTTCACCCAAAAACAAACTAAATGACATAGATTATCTCTGTTTCCGTATATAGAAATGAATATGACACACAACCGAGAGAGAGACAGAAAGAGAACTGTCATCTCTAATATTGCATTTCTTTAATGACTTAGTACCTGTCCCTTTCAGTCATGTACAAAAAAAATTAAATAAAAACAAAGAATCTAGAAAATCATTAACATACTTCTCAAAGAAAAACAGATACCTTCTCTTACATAGTTATACCCATTCAACATAAATACATACATGAAAAAGAAACCACTCATTCTTTTTTTTATAACATCTCATATCATGATTAGTATTCGTATCGTGTTATCAAACAAAATAAATTTACCTGAAAAAGGAAAGTAAATATAAACAATTACGTTAACTATTGTTATAGATCATGATGTCAATATATTTTATATTGATGTTAATATCTAAAATAGAATTAAAAACGTTCAATTCTTTTTCTTTTTTTTTTTTTGTTTATCGAAAAGGTCGATTGAACTGGTTAGAGAAAGAAGAAAATGAGTGTCCGTTGTTGTGATTAAATGAAGACAAAAAAAACGTTGTGATTTCTCATTGGTCATTGATTTCCATTGTATGCTTCCATCTATCTATTTTATTCAATTAAAAACTTAGAAAAAACTGTATCCTATAAAATTAAATTAAACTTTCTTCTATAAATAAACTTTTATGAATATATAAGAAAAGTTTTTTTTATGATGAAAATTTTATTGGATCGATTTCATAAACCAATAGAAATAAGAACAGAAAAAAAAAATAAATCTTCGCTTATTGTTCGGAAAATACATTATTTTTGTTTCTAAAGAAAAAGATAGTACAATAATATGCGTTCATCTATTACTATATTTTTTGTTTTATTCAATATTCTTTTATGTTTTGTATGGTCAGCAGCAAAAAAACTTAAAGATGAAGATTTTTCTGAATTTGATGATTTTGATGAAGATGAATTTATTGTTGGTATGACATATAAAATTTACTTTAGAAAGAAAATTTGTATCTATATACATCGATTGTAGAAACTCCATCTCCGTCCGGTGCTAGTCCTTTACCATCTAAAACACAATCAAATCAACCAGATCTAACAAATAATGATGGATCATCTCAGCCATCATCAAGTAAAACAACAGAACAAAAAATCAATGATGATGTCACTATTGATGATGATGATGATCTTATATTTGATGAAGAAGAATTTGAAGCGGTAAAAATTTAGTTTTGAGTGTGAATAATAGAGAAAATATTAGATTGACTTTGATTTATCTCTTCAGTTAAATTAGTTAGATAGTATTAAGAACATATTCTTTCTTTTTTTGTATTTATAATGATAATAGAATGTCTACGAGATAAAGATAAAAGGTCAATGTGAATGATGTAATCTTGTTTTTTTTTTGTTGTTGTTACTGAGAGTTCAAAGAAAATGATAAAATTTCAATAATGATTTTAGACATGTGTTAATCTAATCTTTTTCGATTTCATTTTGGAAAATATTAAATTGTGAAAATATAATGAGTGATATTCAAAACTAAGACTTGATGCAAAAAAAACAAATTAGTTTCTGAAATTAATCAAATTAATGCCTAAAATTGCCACGGTATTTTATGATCACATATTTTCTTGATATTGTTAATAAATAAAAAGAAAAGAATTTTTTCAGTATCAACGGATCTATAATTTCTATTCCGTTCTTCTAGCTAAATGTTGTTTTTATGAGGTTTGCGTACTCATGTCAGTCTTTTGAATGACATATTATTGAATGGTATCTTCTTTTGCCATAGTGTCTTGAGAAAGAGAAGATAAATTTTTTGCCGTCGATCAATATGGGTTTTTAACAACACATTGAACAAATTTACATAACAAAAATAGCGTAGTAGAAATTAATCATTATTTATCTTATTTGGTGCTCGTCATGATCTAGAGGTTACATGTCCAAGTAAGCTGTGTACTTAGTAATCACAGTGAAATATATTGTATTTTGAATTATTTCATAATCAAGTTTGATTATGAATAATTTTCAAATTTTGAGTAACTAAAAATAAAAATAAAAATAAATTGTAATCATTGAGAAAATTTCTTATTCTCACGTTATGTTATTACAAGAGAAGATAACTAATTTGGTTTTGCCTCAAGACATTTGAAATATCATGTATGGGCAAGATAGTTCTACTTATGTCTAATGTTAGCATAGGATTTATACTTATAATTAGAAATTATCTAGGAGAAACGAGAGTTTTGTTGAAATGAAAATTTTCATATTATTTTGTTTAGTCTGATTCATTTACATCGTCATCGTCAATACCAGATCTTAAAATTGCTGAAGTTCCTGCTAATTTAACAGGCAATCGTTGGGAAGCATATCATTGTGAAGCAATAATGATTATTGCATTATTAATTTATTTAATAAATTTTCTAATTGGTCGTTCAAAAAATGCTCGTCTAGCAACAACTATTTATAATTCACAATGTGATTTACTTGAAAGAAATTTTTCTCTTGTTGGTGATAATGGTCAAACACGTAATATACAATCAACAGATGAACAAACAAGTAATGATATTATATTAAATAATATGCATAAAGAATCTGAAAGTTTATATATACTTTGGTGTAGTGGTCGAGTATCAATTGAAAGTATGCTTATTGAAATACGTTTTATAAAACGACAATGTTTATTTAATTCATTGGCTGCATTAATTAAATCAATCAATGATATGATTATTTATACCATTGATTATAATAAAGATGATATGGAAACATTTGTATTTTGTTTAGCAAAAAAACGTACAGCTGCTAAATTACATCGTGATATGAATGATCTTAGTCAATTTTGTTCAGAACGAAAAAATGCTGACAAACGTGGTTTAAGTGGAAATTATCAAATATTAAGTGAAATTGGTGAAGTATCAAGTACTATTATTGATAATCGTGTAGCAGATTTTATAGACAAGTCAGAATTAGTTTTTAGTTTTAGTTGAGTAAATTTCTCAGTTTCTTTTTTTCTTTAGATTTCCAGATGCACTTGAATATATTCATATTAGTGATCAATATACAGGAATGAAACTACAAAATGATAGTCAACAGTCATCAAATAATTCTAATGTTGCATCAAATAATGATAGTGCAACACAACAACAAGATGCATTAAATTTAAGTGAACGTTCTGTTCGTCGTGTATTAATTGTTGCATTTAATTTAATTGCATTTAATGATCGTTCATTACAAGTTACAACAGAAACTATTAGTAGTGATTATTTACGTTTTGTATTGTATTTAGCTGATCGTATTAGTTCATTTCGTTTTACGTCAAAAGAATCGAAAAGTAAAACAATTAAAAATCGTCAACGTATTGAAGAACAATTTTTAAAAAATGTTTATCAACAACGACAAGAACAAGCACAACAAAGACGTGAAGAAAAACGTCGGGTTGAAAAAGAAAAAATTATGCAATCTGATGATCCAGAAAAACAACGTAAATGGGAAGAAAAAGAACATAAACGTGAAATGAAACGACGACAACCAAAAATGAAACAAATGAAAATTAAATCCATGTAAAAATTGAACAAAAGCAATATTGATTTTACTTATTTAAGCAATACTCCTTATTTTTCATTGTCATCCTCCGTTTTGTTTTTGTTGTTTTGTAATTGAATCTCCATTTTTTTATATATTGTATATGATGTGAAACAATCATATAAAAAAAAAACAGCAGTTTAGTGTTATCCTAATTTACATTAATGAATGACTTTAAAGAAAAAGTTGAGCAATTAGTGCTCATAATAATGAATTGTATCAATACGAAACAAGAGAAGTGTAAATTCGAAAAATGACTTTGACACAAAGTAAAATCTTGGTATTATTTCATTTTCTGTGAATTGAATATCTCATTCGGTTATTTATGCTAGATTACCCATTTTTTTGGAAAATGATTATTCAAGAAAAACTGGAATTTTTATACAAGTAGCATCCAGATGTTTGCATTAAATCTAAAACGATTTCAGAATCTACTATTCTTGTACGAAGTATCATCTAATCTTTCAAAACTTTTGTAGACTACTGAGCCAAAATCTAAGCTCTGCGCTTGTAAGATATCTGGTCAAGGGGGAAAAAGCGGATCCTGTGAATCATAATGGATCTTGGCGGATCCTGGTGGATTCTAATGGATCCTAATGGACCCTGATAGAACCTGATGAATTGTAGAATATATTATTTGAAGTGTGCGAAAATGAAGGTGGAAAGATCTGAGCCTAATAAATGCAAGGGTGCATTAGAGTCCAAAGAAAGTACATTAAAACCTCTCTATGTCAGCACCTTCTTATACTGAGGGGTCTAAAGTCCACCAGAGAGAATTTTGCTGGAAATGAGCCTTTCGATTATAAGGACTTTCATATTCTGAATTGTGAATGCTCTTTGGGTGTGGGTATGTTGATGAAGGAAATAGATAAACCCACACACCCGCACCCATACCCTCACGGTCACAGCTGACTCCCTATAAACTACGCGAACACCTACGAACATCACGAAATGAAAGATACCTTAGATCTACTTATATAGACAGATAGAACTCAATGAGTTGTGTTCACGAACACCTACGAACACCTACTTCGAATGAGCCCGAAAAAAAATTTGAATCATCCAAGCAAGATTTTTCTACGAACACCACTTATGATATCTGCGAACACCTACGAACACCTTTCAAGCATGCTTGAAAATCTACGAACACCTGTCTAA